CCAAATTGAAGCTATATTACTAAGTTATTTGTAACTTTTCAAGGTCATGTGTATTTACTCCTTTACAAAACCAGAGACAATGTAAAGTAGCGGGTTCAAATAGTACCTTTAAATATCGTTTTCGACGAGGCCTAAAAGAGGTAGCTTTAATTTTTAGTTCTAGTTTGGCTTAGATCACTGTAGTGGAGGCGTACAGCTACACCTTGCTCGTCGCTCATTAAATGTGTTTGAACTTGAGTAGCAAGTGGAACATATTTGTCACGAGTTTCCCAGGAGTATTGTGGAGTGTAGAGCTTCAATGCCTCGTGCAATAACTTACTCCGCGAGGCTGAGCAGTCTAGATACTGTCTCCTGTGTCCGCGAAAAGTGTGAATGCTAGCGGACGCGGTTTGATGGTGATTGTCCTCGTTACAAAACCACAATCACAATGTCGCCGAATCCTGAAGGCTGGATTGGGCACTGGCTAGTCGCAGACCCCACCCCGTGTCATCGTGTCTCCATGCTGCTGCACGTGATCGGGAGGACTGGCATAGGGGTCGATCTCTTCTTATTCAGGAGAGATTGCGGTCCATCACATCTCTCCTGACTCTAGAGAGATGTACACCGTTCTCTCTTCTCCATCCCCTGGACAGCCAGATCCTTCTCCTCCATAGCTCAAACGCGGTGATGGAAAAGTCCGGCCTCCACACACCGGGTTTGGTCTGACCCGGTCTGGACGGGCACCTTCTTCCGAAGTTAGTGGTCCTCCAAGAGCAGGCTCATGTGTCCTGTAGCTCAGTTGGTAGAGCGTTGGACTCCGCGTGGTGTGAGCACGCGTTCCCGGTTATAACAGTCCGGGTTCGAAGCGCGACGGGCGCTTGACATTTATGGGCCTCCTGACAGGGATGGTTGCGGTTCGTGGCAGGCCGTAGCCAGGCGAAGTCAGTGAGGGGACCGGCCGTGCGCGGCTATGTGCGCACGTTAAACTTTGGATCCTAGATTCTGCCATAGAACTGGAATTGCGCGATCGGAGGGTAGATCGGAGGTCTTTTTGTCCAGGGTCACCGCAACAAGCTTCGCTTAGCGGTGGCTCTGTCCTTGTGAATCCTTCCTATCAAAAGGTTCGGACTAAATTTATTAAAAAAAAAATGTGTGGTGGGGTGACCGTTAGCGGGGCTGGGTGGCCTGTCCACGTGACGGCCTCAGCCCCAGCGGCGCACCAAGCTAGCCGCCCAGACCAGTGTCTTCCCCTCATTCCTATCACCCTTCTGCCTCTTCAAAGATCTCGCGGGAACAAAAGGGCCTACCCCACAAAAAAAGATCTCTCCTGATCAGGAGAGATGTTACGGCCCACATCTCTCCTAACTCAGGAGGGATGCTGCGGTGCGTCTCGGCTGCTCACGTGTTTCAGGAGCCTAGGAACACGTGAGTCGCCGCAGTGGCCCGCCAGTGCCCCGGGCGAGACCTCTATCGAGTTTGATCGCTTACAGTTCATCTGAACACATTTTTTTTAGCTTGAGGAATACAGGTTGAACCAACAGGAAATACCCAGAATGGGAACTTACATAACCGTGAAACTAAGTCGAGACAAATCTAAGAAGTTACCATGCCCTGTACCTACCAAAGGAGTTATGTGCTATATTGAGATACCTTTTGTATGTTTTCGATTGTGCTTGCTGTTTCTTTTTGTCCATGATTATCTAGCCAGTCCTACTTTTATTCGTGCAATATATTGGTATATATTTTTACGCGTGAAACTACATTGCCAAATAATGTTTAGTTAGCTGTCATTACGATTGATAGGCTAAGTGTAATAACAGTCGTGCAATGACAGGATATTCATAGTGCAAGGAAGTGTAAATTACGATACCTTTTAAGCACGGCGCCCATTGAGCTATTTATATTCTTTGACGGCGAAATAAATGGAGTTTACAGAGGCATTCGTTCGGACCGATCCATACAAGTCACGTAGCTGGCGTAATTACTGCGGCAGTGCAGTGTTACGGCGGCAGCTCCCGGCTCTGATCCGAGCTATCCGGGCCAGTTAGCGGCCGGCCATCACACAGGCCGAGAGCCAATCACCCGACATATCAGGGGAGAACGGAAGATCGATGTGCACTTAAGCCTAGAGACTTCCATCCTATTAGAACAGCCAGCTACCAGAAACTATACCGGGATCATGTTTGGGGATAAAGAGCTACCATAAAAATCAGCACAAGTTCTCCTACTACCTTCTAAATTCAATCGATAAAAACAATTAGTGAACATTTAGAGTAGACATTAAAACATTTAAGATGAAGCGCATCGAAAGGCCTATTCATGGCTGCACTTTGCTATTTAGCATGATCTCGATTTCAGTCATTAATGGACTGTTAGGACTTCCGTGATCCTTTAAATCTCAGCAGCGCCTCGTGTCAGGGATCGCCACCAATTACATACCTGTGACGGGAGCGATTTCACGTGCTCCGTGTCTGGACCCGCACGTCAAGCGGTCAAATCAATATTTCTCTGTGGCCACGCATCGGGATTACATTTCAATCACAGTGCCTCAGTAGCAGGATTTAAGTTCTTCATTTCCTTAGGTTGGAGTATTGTGATGTCCTTGGCTGACAACGTGCACACAGTTTATTTGTTAATAGGAAAATCGGCTTAAAAAATCACGACTAAGCTGTTGACGTTTCATCTAGGATTGAATGAATGATTTTAGACGCCGGATTCGTCGGATTCACCGGATTCTATTCACCTTTTTTCCAAAAAAAATCTAAGATTTGTTGTAAAAATTGTTGAAGATGAAAAATTTATGAAATATTGCAAGGTCTAACTGAACAATGACAAAACCGAATTAGAAATGGTGTACGTAGATTAGCTCAAGAAGTCATCCTTTGCCAAACAATAGTGCTTGACAAATGGCACATTTTTACATGAGATGTTCAATGTATTTTTGCACCAGATTAACCCGCGCACAGACGGGGGGCGGATATCCGTCCCCAGAGGTTTTTCGTAAATAGTGGGAAACCGCGGCGCGAAGCGCCGCGAAATTTGGCATGACTCAACTTCCACCAATTTTACACATTGTGTGCAGGTTTGAACCTTCTACCTTTCAAGGTCAAGTCACCAGGTCACTTCGAATGACCCGACCTCAAATCCCTTTTTTGCAACTCTGTCACCGTGTCAGAACTGCAGTAGATGACGGAGTCCTTTGAAGGATGCAGCATGTAATGAATTCATTGGTAGCTACAAGTTGTATACCTCGGAATTTTGATATCGATGACCTAAGGTCAGGTCAATTTCTTGACCTTCCATTATAAGTCAATTGCGAAAAATCAACTGCCTGATTTTCTCACTAAAACGCGCCGGAATGGCCTGATATCCCATGAACGACTTCATATACGATAAACCTTGAAGCCTTTTTTGTTCTTCGGCAACTGTAAGGTCATGTGAAGTCATCAAAGATCACCAAAGGTTTTTTTTTGCTAATAACTCCTTACATGAATGAGATACAGCCACGCGGATGGTCTCATTGTGTTCAACTCTTCAAGGCGCATCGAATGATATACATGATGACCTTAAGGTCACGTGACCTGGGGTCAGCCTTTGACCTTAACCTTTCGAGGTCAACAAATATGTTTCTATGCGGATCGAGAGGATCACGATGGCGCTATTAGTTTGTTCCTAGCTTGGCTACTTCGAAACTTATTGCAGAAAATTTTTCATATCTAGCGCCGCTATTTTGACTTTTTTGACCCATCTGACGTCATCTTTAACCTGACCTGAAAATGACCTCAGTAGAAATTGTAGACTTTGTCCGTGTGTAGGTATTCCATGCCGTTTAACACTTGCTGCTATCTTGCTTCGTTCTCGAGACCTCGGGGGGGGGGGGGATATCCGCCCCCGTCGGTTTTAGGTTGGCGCGGACCCCCGTCGGTGCGCGAGTTAAAAAACGATTAATTTTGAACAATATTGCTCTACATGCATCATCATTTCTCAACATCAAAAAATGCAATGACACATTTGAGAGGGACACGTCACGCGTTAAATGATGGCTTCAATCAGATCCAGTCTGAAATTCTGCATTATACACAGTCAAGGGCTTTGAAGTGTGCATTTCCGTCCAGCAGCGCGCAATACCTGATCAGGGAGTTCCGCTGTCACCAACATGACCTATCCAGATCGAATAAAGAACCCGCCTCACATGCTGTTTGTGCTGGGCGCCGCCATTACATAATCAATTTAAACTACGCAAGGACGTGTTCAGCGCAACTGGAAACCGTTCGGCATAAGTGAACAACATTATCGCTAGATTTCAAGGCACCAGACTATAGTTTGCTTTGCTGATCGATGTGTCACGTGAAATACATCCCATACTTACTATTAACATCTGAATCAACATTGTAATGGTTATACATCGATTTAGTGACATTGAAAGACAAAATAACTGCATTTAAAGAAACATCATTTCACTGAACAAGAGCAAATTCATGCATGCGTACTTTACACCATAAAACTTGGAACTCGGGGTTAATGAACCATGACATCATGATATCATCGAGGAAATGCTGTTCTTACTTCTCGACATCAATCAAACTGAGTTGCTGAATGTTTGGACACCGGCCAGAGCCAAGTTCAAGGTTTCGGATTTCCTACCGATACTCAGTCAGCCGGTGTAGTGATTCACTGTGATCCGCGCTGATCTCCGCTGATCCGCGCTGATCCCTCTGATCCCCTAGGTAACGGTCTGAGGTCGGCGGCTGCCCCGCGTCCCTCTGACGTCACAACTCGAGACGGTCATGACCCTGTGGCCAGAAAATCCGTCAAAAAATGCCCGTCGGTGGCGGTGGCCGGTGGGCAGCCCTCTCGGCCCGGAGACCGAACCTGCTCGGCAGCAGGAAGCCAGCCGGCGCGAGGGGTCACTGGACAGCCGAGCGGCGGCGCCGATTGGACGCCGGCCGAGCCGGGCCCGCCCCCTGACCGGCCGACCCGCACCATTTTATAAGCCTATACGGCCGAGGGCCGGGGCAAGTCGTCATTTGAGGCCTGGCCGGCGCGCCGAGCGGGGTGGTCATCTGGGACGCTCAGTGAGCCGTGTACCTGTCGGAGACGCCTGGCCAGCACAGCAGCGCCTGGCGCGGCGCTAAAAGGTACGGAGCCGCGGCGCGCGCCGGTCGACCCGGCACAGAGCGCCGGACCGGGTCGATAGCTGGGGTTCGATAGCGCGGGGAGACGGGCGGGTAGAACAGGACAACCCGCAGCCTGCTGAGTGAGCCGATACAATGCCAACTATTGTAGAAAGCCAGATTAGCTGAATACCAATTGCCACACACAACAAATCACATCTCAACGCGTACAAAAACCGCTAAATTGTCACATTGCTATCAACATCAGTGACAGCAAGCGTGGCTGAAAACTATGCGCTGTAAAAGCGACACCTCTTTTGAGTGTGTACGAGTACATTCCCATTCCATTCCAATCGTCCCAGCTACTGTTCCACCGTCCAAGAAGGTCGGAATGGGCCCCGGTGCGGAACGCCGCGTTTTTCGTGCCGCTCGAGCTACCCGGTCGGTCGGTGACCAGACGGGTGCGGACCGTACTTCCGGAGCTGCCGCGGCCGCCGCCGGTGGACTCGGTACCGCCGAGATGTCCCTGAAGGTCGTCTGAGACGAGCGCCGGCCCCCTTGGCCCCAGTCTCTCACACACAGAGTCGGCCCACCGCGGGTAGGTCCGCCGCCGACTGGCGTCATCCATGAGGGTGCCCTGAGTGGGATTCGAGATATTTGGTAATGAGCAGGAGCAGATCACGACGTAAGCTCAAGCGGGTCAGTCGGTGGCTCAAGAAAGGCTCGATTTATTGTTATATAAATATCGATTCGATTTATTGCCCCGATGCCCAGCACGTATCACCTGACCCGATCTGCGGTCAGCTGTGAGAGGCTCAGCTTGGCTCTATGAAGACTCACCCTCCCGCGGTCACTGTGTGTCGGCAGCACACATAGCGCGGCGCCCCGGCCGTTTTCCGGCCTCCGGGAGCCGCTCGGTGCCGTACCGTATGCCCGCTCGGGCGCGCCGTCCGTCTGCCCGGTCCGGCCGAGTTTACTCACCGTCTGTTGACTCCGGCCCGACCTCTGAGGTCAGGGAGGTCAGCTGACCTGTGGCGCCGTCCGGCCGGCGCTGGGTCGGGACGGCAGGAAGTCCGCCCCCGCCGCGCCGCTCGGACGAGACCCACCGCGGACATCGGTCCAGCCGCCAGCGAGTGTGTCGCAGCGCCCGCCGGCCTCGTCAAACGTCGCCACAGCGGCATGTTTTCGGGAGGGCCAGGAGAGTTCAATGGCGAACAAAAACGTACTGCGGCGCCGCGACTTCAACGCCACTAGGCCCCCATTTGACTGAAAGGAAAACAATCGACACACGAGTCTCAGAGACACCTGGCTATTACTGGCACTCCGGTGTTGCAGCTGCTCGTCTTCATTTGGTACAGCTTGTAATTGCACCGACCGTTCCCAGCGGCACCACGCCTGCACCAACTGTCTCACGCGGCACCACACCTGCACCAACTGTCTCACGTAGCACGACTGACGTCGCCCCATCCTACCTCTCCCAGACTGGTGGTGCCAGAACTGAGAAACCCGGCGGCCTCCAGCCGAGGGCCGCCCCCGACTAGTTGACCATGAAACTCTGCTCTAGTAACCTTGTAGTAAAAGCCGGCCCGTGTCGTGACCAGAGACTCGACTTCCTCGCTGTCCAAATCTGGCGGCGATCTGGCCCACTCTCGTCATAACACGGTCCATCAACATCCCACGATACCCCGATAAGGCAGCAGTCAGCAGGTCGCCACGTCAGATTACACCTGTATTTAATGTAATCTACCCTGTAACTACCAAACTATCCACACTACAGTAAGTTGCGGGCGGGATACTGCACTGCTAGTTATGAGCTATTGTAGGGTATTGTGCGCCTAAAGACCGGCGTGGCTAAGTGTTTGTGGCGTGGATTTAAAGCTTTGCATAATGTATGCGTGTTCTGTCGTAAAATAAGTCCGGCTGAGGTCTGTAAATCTTGGACTACCATCAGTAAATCATGCTGTGTTATTCTCCATTCAGCAGAGCGTAAAATGGTAGGTGGAGAGGTGCCATAAGACATGGTGTCGGCAGTCCGACAGTACAGCGGCGCTTTGGACGGCGCTGGGCGCTTGCAGACGGTCTCCGTTGACCCGTCCGGCCAGCTCAGCGGTCATACTTTCCACCAGTCTTTTATAAACCCGGTCAGCTCATAATACATACCACGGCAGAACGTGTTTCGAGACCCAGTTAAAAAGTGCCGAGATTCTCAGTAATTACCTTTCAGTGCAACAAAAACCAGGCTGATCTCCCACCGAGCCGGGGCCCTATCCTTTGGGACGCACATAAACACTGACCTTACCTAATGGGATAGCACCTGTACCGAAGTTAGGCGCCAATTAGGCAGTTTCAAACAGCTCAGAGGTAACCTTCGTTATCCCTGTGCGTGGCTCTCTGTATCTGTGTTACATAGCAAAGTAGATGGCTGAGGCATAAGCCACATCCGTTCTCAAACGATTATTGAAAATGTACGTACATAGGTACTACATACCTATAAACGACTCCATCTATGATTTCTAATTGAATTTCTTGGAGGCTTTAAATGAATGCAGTACAATATTTAAGTGATTACCTTAATAAAACATGCAATTCTAATTTTTGCAACAGCTGTTTTTTTTGCTTATCATAAAATACTAAATAGTTGTGACTTGATGCGACGTAATGCTCACAAGCTCAAAACCAGCCATCTTCAGCACAAGTCCAGCCTTCCTTCCCATCTCCTCTGGTGTACATATGTGTAGCTACATTAAGAATCGCATCCCTGTTGTGGGTGACTCAGACGTGGTGTGCCCTGTCCCGCCGCGGGAGTGTCTGATGTGTGCCCTGTCCCGCCGCGGGAGTGTCTGATGTGTGCCCTGTCCCGCCGCGGGAGTGCCTGCTGTGTACCCTGTCCCGCCGCGGGAGTGCCTGCTGTGTGCCCTGTCCCGCCGCGGGAGTGTCTGATGTGTACCCTGTCCCGCCGCGGGAGTGCCTGATGTGTGCCCTGTCCCACCGCGGGAGTGCCTGCTGTGTGCCCTGTCCCGCCGCGGGAGTGTCTGATGTGTACCCTGTCCCGCCGCGGGAGTGTCTGATGTCCTGTCCCGCCGCGGGAGTGTCTGCTGTGTGCCCTGTCCCGCCGCGGGAGTGTCTGATGTGTACCCTGTCCCGCCGCGGGAGTGCCTGCTGTGTGCCCTGTCCCGCCGCGGGAGTGTCTGATGTCCTGTCCCGCCGCGGGAGTGTCTGCTGTGTGCCCTGTCCCGCCGCGGGAGTGTCTGATGTGTACCCTGTCCCGCCGCGGGAGTGCCTGCTGTGTGCCCTGTCCCGCCGCGGCAGTGCCTGATGTGTGCCCTGTCCCGCCGCGGGAGTGCCTGATGTGTGCCCTGTCCCGCCGCGGGAGTGCCTGATGTGTGCCCTGTCCCGCCGCGGGAGTGTCTGATGTGTGCCCTGTCCCGCCGCGGGAGTGCCTGATGTGTGCCCTGTCCCGCCGCGGGAGTGTCTGATGTGTGCCCTGTCCCGCCGCGGGAGTGTCTGCTGTGTGCCCTGTCCCGCCGCGGGAGTGTCTGATGTGTACCCTGTCCCGCCGCGGGAGTGCCTGATGTGTGCCCTGTCCCACCGCGGGAGTGTCTGATGTGTGCCCTGTCCCGCCGCGGGAGTGTCTGATGTGTGCCCTGTCCCGCCGCGGGAGTGTCTGATGTGTGCCCTGTCCCGCCGCGGGAGTGTCTGCTGTGTGCCCTGTCCCGCCGCGGGAGTGTCTGATGTGTGCCCTGTCCCGCCGCGGGAGTGTCTGATGTGTGCCCTGTCCCGCCGCGGGAGTGTCTGATGTGTGCCCTGTCCCGCCGCGGGAGTGTCTGATGTGTGCCCTGTCCCGCCGCGGGAGTGCCTGATGTGTGCCCTGTCCCGCCGCGGGAGTGTCTGATGTGTGCCCTGTCCCGCCGCGGGAGTGTCTGCTGTGTGCCCTGTCCCGCCGCGGGAGTGTCTGATGTGTACCCTGTCCCGCCGCGGGAGTGCCTGATGTGTGCCCTGTCCCACCGCGGGAGTGTCTGATGTGTGCCCTGTCCCGCCGCAGGAGTGTCTGATGTGTGCCCTGTCCCACCGCGGGAGTGTCTGATGTGTGCCCTGTCCCGCCGCGGGAGTGTCTGCTGTGTGCCCTGTCCCGCCGCGGGAGTGTCTGATATGTGTGCCCTGTCCCGCCGCGGGAGTGTCTGATGTGTGCCCTGTCCCGCCGCGGGAGTGTCTGATGTGTGCCCTGTCCCGCCGCGGGAGTGTCTGATGTGTGCCCTGTCCCGCCGCGGGAGTGTCTGATGTGTACCCTGTCCCGCCGCGGGAGTGTCTGATGTGTGCCCTGTCCCGCCGCGGGAGTGTCTGATGTGTACCCTGTCCCGCCGCGGGAGTGTCTGATGTGTACCCTGTCCCGCCGCGGGAGTGTCTGCTGTGTGCCCTGTCCCGCCGCGGGAGTGTCTGATGTGTACCCTGTCCCGCCGCGGGAGTGTCTGATGTGTACCCTGTCCCGCCGCGGGAGTGTCTGCTGTGTGCCCTGTCCCGCCGCGGGAGTGTCTGATGTCCTGTCCCGCCGCGGGAGTGTCTGATGTGTACCCTGTCCCGCCGCGGGAGTGTCTGATGTGTGTCCTGTCCCGCCGCGGGAGTGTCTGATGTGTGCCCTGTCCCGCCGCGGGAGTGTCTGCTGTGTGCCCTGTCCCGCCGCGGGAGTGTCTGATGTGTACCCTGTCCCGCCGCGGGAGTGCCTGATGTGTGCCCTGTCCCACCGCGGGAGTGTCTGATGTGTGCCCTGTCCCGCCGCGGGAGTGCCTGCTGTGTGCCCTGTCCCGCGGCGGGAGTGTCTGATGTCCTGTCCCGCCGCGGGAGTGTCTGATGTGTGTCCTGTCCCGCCGCGGGAGTGCCTGCTGTGTGCCCTGTCCCGCGGCGGGAGTGCCTGCTGTGTGCCCTGTCCCGCCGCGGGAGTGTCTGATGTCCTGTCCCGCCGCGGGAGTGTCTGATGTGTGTCCTGTCCCGCCGCGGGAGTGCCTGCTGTGTGCCCTGTCCCGCCGCTG